ACATTCTAACTTTCTCCGCAGTATACTGGAAAAGCTTTAAACACCTGAGGGATTGCTTTAGGGGAATTCACGTAAATCGTTTCAAATTTTATTTACGAACGTTTTCCATCAATTATCGAAGCCGTTTAAAAATTTAGAGAAATATAAAAACAAAAAAAAAGAGAGAGAGAGAGAGAGAAAGAGAGAGTGAGAAAAAGAAGCTTACTTTTAGGTATAACTAGAAAAAGAAAATCGTATTAGCATTAAAAAAAAAAAAAAAAATCTTTAGGATCAGTCGAATATGTTCAATCGATAAAAGTGATAGTGATGAGCATTCTTTTGTGGGTGAAAAGTCAATGGAATTTGACGTCGATAAAAAGAACCCATAATAGCCCGTTGTTCCGGAGAACAAGAAGTCCCTTAGAAAGGGCAACGGGTCGTAGTCGATGGGAAATATCGCGATGGGGGTAGAGAAAGGGGGGGAGGAGGGAGGGAGAGAGAGAGAGAGAACATCTTAAAAGTCTTCGAACGAGGATCCTTTTAGGGAATTACGAAGTTATCGGAAAAGTTTCTTCGAAGGGGGACATGCCTTGCGGCATTATATTTAATAACGTCCAATAAGCGTTCCTTCTTTTCCATCCGTTCGTTCTCATTTCATCCAGTCTTGTCCATCCCTTTAGATTCTCCTTTCGTCCAAAATCTACTATAATTCGAATGAACTCCTAAACATATATGAAAATATTAAACGTTAATTAATGTTATATTTAACATCTAAAACGTATGATATATCGATGAATAAATTTGAAATAATTTTACTTTATTTTACATTGATTTTCACATTTTTACGATAAACAATATTTATATATATTCTTGTATATTAAAATATTTAAAATGTTTATCATGTCCAGATAATTGAAGCTAAATAAATTTTATAATTTTTAACATCATATGATATATTAATGAATAATTTCAAAATAATTTTATTTTATCTTACATTTATTTTCACATTTTCACGATACGTATATATATATATATATACTCTTGTATATAAAAATATTAAAAATGTTTATCTTGTTCAGGTAAACGAAGCTCGCTAAATTTTATATACGTACGAATGTAAAGAAGCCGACATATAGATAGTATAAAAAATAAAAATAATAAAAACAAAAAAGAAAGTAAAGAAATTACACGTAAAATATCTATTAAAAAATAAAATTACATTCATCATATTTATATGTATATTTCACATTTTACATGCAAGAATAACTCTCCATCGTTCTGTATAATTCTTTCACGATTTGACGATGGAGAGGAGAGAAGAGAAAAAGAAGGAAAGACAGAAAAAAAGAAAAAGAAAGAAAAAGGAAAGACCAAAGAGAAACAATAAAAAAAAAAAAAGAAAAAAAAAAAAGAAAGAAGAAGAAAGAATGAAAGAAAATAAGAAACAACGAGAGAATCTTATTGAGAAACAATGAATGCTATTATTTTAAAAAAAGAAATTGAAGTGGATAAATCGGAACAAATGAAACATAGTAAACGTTTCAACACGTTTCGAAAAATTTCAGGAGCGACGTAGCCTGGCAGATCGGAATGGAGTAACGGGACGGTACGCCAGGATGGGACAGTGGTGCGTGCCAGTATTTATAGTATGGATTGTGTCTGCTTGGCATCTGGCCATCGGGCGGTCGTTTCTCAAGAGCCGCACGGAAAGCAACGAGCTATCGTCATGTGAGCAAACGAACGATATCGGTGTTTGCCTGATCCTACTTCGATCGGAAGGGTAATACTTTCCTTTCTCCGCCCATAAAAATTCTTATCTCTTGCCATCTTCATTGGAATACAAACGCGTAGTCGAAACGATGATAGGTCGGTCATCGTTCGATAACGTGACTGTAATATAACTATTCTCACAAAATTATTCAAAATATTACTATCTTTCTCATACCATGGAAATTTTAATATGAATTTAAAAACACTGTTTACGCATACGATATATATAATATATTTGCTTTTTAGCACAGTTATATCCGCTGCTTTTAATATTTCTACAAAATTCTTTAAAAGTTACGTCTATAAAAAATGAAAAAAAAAATTAGTATTATTACTATTGCAATAATAGTAATTATAGTTATTATTAAATTAGTAAATATAATAATTATTATTGTTGCAATAATAAATATTATATTAATACAGGATGAGTCATCGTTCTAAGGATTATGTTTATAATCAATTACACTTTCTTCGGACTTTTTAAGTCAATTTTTTTTTTCTTCTTCTTCTTCTTTAGATCGTAAAATCACAAACTTTGGCTGTGAGACTTTTAATTTGGAAACTTTCGATCTAACGTATATGATACAATTATTATAATCTTGTTATCTTCTTATATTTTTGTCTGTTTTTTTTTCTCTCTCTCTCTCTCTCTCTCTCTCCCTCTTCCTTTCGAAAAATTTCAGTAAGACAGAAAGGTGTAATAAAAATTTCTACGTGCGTAACAACTTCTACATCTTCATACGAGCATCGAGGGATTCTAGCTAGAATGAATCTTACTAGTCTGATCCTTCGAACGCACGTACAATCCATAAGTCAAGAAAAGGTTCTCTATATTCATGTAGAATGACATCGGGTCGATGCTTTTACTGCTACTGCTGCTACTTCTGCTGGTACTGCTATTGCTATTACTACTACTACTACTATTACTACTACTAATGCTACTACTACTACTACTACTACCGTAACATTCGTAGATGAATCACGAGAGTAGTCCGATCGGTAATCGTTCGCAAGCCCGACCTGGCTTTTATTAGACCGGCTGACACCGAGGATCATTGCCAAACTAGGACCGCGTACGAACAATGGCTTCCACGTATCGGGCTGGCCGATTCGAAAATAACCGTGACTGCTGTTCCTTTTCTCTCCGCACTCTTTCGAGTAGAGGATTTGAACGGACGGAGTTGAAGAAAGAGAGAAAAAGAGAGAGAGAGAGAGAGAGAGAGAGAGAGAGAGAGAGAGAGAGAGAGAGAGAGAGAGAGAGAGAGAGAGAGAGAGAGTGAGAGATAAGCTGAGGTTAGAGAAATGAAGAAAAAAAGAAAAAGAAGAAGAAGATTAGATAAAGAGAATAATTAGATAGGAGTTTGGTTCTTGATGGAAGGGAAAACAAAATGGTAGCTTGCTAGTCAGAATAGAAGAACATCAACATTTTTTTCTTTCCTTATGTATATATTCTCAAACGCGTGTTTCAAATCCATTCTTCGAACGACGTTACCCTTCCATCTCTTACTGTGGATTCTCAGACGATCTTTGAAAGAGAAAGAGAGAGAGAGAGAGAGAGAAAAAGAGAAAGAAAAGGGACAGGGGAGAGAGAGAGAGAGAGAGAGAGAGAGAGAGAGAGAGAGAGAGAGGGTCAACGATCGACTCATGGAGACTCGCATGGAATCTTCACGGATAGCTTCTCGCTTTGGAATCGGAGACCCTCCGTTTTCCATCCGTCTCGAGAACGACGATACTCGATCGAGCGGCAAGACGTTCGACGAATGCCACGACGTATGCGCTTCGTAAAACGAACTAGTAGAGAGAGAAAGAGAGAGAGAGAGAAAGAAAGGAAGGGTAGGAGAAAGGGTGAGGGTAAGACAGGATCGAACGATTTATAGTCCTACAGTGGAAGGAGAACGTACGGCAAAACGTTCGATCTTGAAAATACTTTCACCTTCGATCCCTTTTCTCTCTCTCTCTCTCTCTCTCTCTCTTTCTCTCTCTCTCTTTCTCTCTACTTTGTACACCTACTATTCTTCTAAGCTTCTTTGCTTCTTATCAAGTCAAAGTTTCGACGCTAAAATACAAAGCTTTTTCACGCGAAACTTATCGTTTTTCTGTATAAATAATAAAAATTATTGAAAAATATTATTATGATATATGTATATATATATACATACATAATAATATGTATGTAATACATATACATAATATTTTATCATATGGTGTTTGTCCTTAACTTCGATATTAACAATTTTTTCTGAATTTTTAATATATTTTAATAAAGATTCCGATTCAATTGTAAATATATCAGGTGCTAAATGCATTAATTTTTGATATGTAATAATTGATCAACAAAGTGTATTAATTTTTTTTAAAGAGTTTAAATCGTTCTAATCAAGTTGAATATTTCAATATTAATTTACTGGATTGTTATTTATTTGATCAGTATTTTAAAACATTTAATAAGTATTTTGTAACAAATAATAATATAATAAAGTATCAATGAGGGAAATATAAATGAAGGAAACTTGACAATTAATTATTTACACTGATCAAAATATTCATATGTATATATATTGATCATTTATTTAAAAAAATATTTATCATTAATTAATAAAAATACTGATCAAAAAATATTGAAATATAACTTGCGTAGATTTTATTTGTACAATTTGTTAACACTGTTATAAGCCTTATCAATAATACCTAGGGAGATCAAAGTAGGAAATATTGTTCAATAGAAGAGGAATGATTCTCCTCTCAAAAGATAAGTATTCAGGTGCTCCAGATTTCTCTTGTTGACCTTCGATGTTCTAAGATGCATCGCTTTATGACGTTCATCCTATCGATAAGCCTCTATCGTTCCACTTTCGAAATATACTCCCTCTTTCAGGCACAGAAAATAATTGGCAAAAAAAAAAAAAAGAAAATGATTAGCGAACCTTCTCTCTCTCTTTCTCTTTCTCTTTCTCTTTCTATATCAAGCTTCCATGCATGTATATGTATGTATGTCTAGGTTGTGTGTGTGTAAAAAAAGAAAAAAAAAGAAGAAAGAGAAAATTAAAAAATAGATGCTTAATAATACTCGACTTTCATTTTCATATTTATTCTTTTCCTAATTCACATATCGTACTTTTAATAATTAACAAATCAACCATCCACCTATATATTTTTAATTTTTATCCTTTCGCATATACACATGTGAAAAGAAGAAAAAAGAAATAAAAAGAAAAAAAAAAATATATATATATATAGAATATATATAAAAAAATAACAAAAGCCATGAATGATCTCGTTATGTAGTACTCGTTTGTGGTTTCAAAACTAGAAAACTCTCTCCTCTGAAAGTGAGAGAGAGAGAGAGAGAGAGAGAGAAAGGGACAGAAAGAGATAGAATGGATTTTACATTGAAATTCACGGCTTTTTGAATAAGCCATAAAGATAGATGATTTAAACACCGTTTTAATAACTTTTACACATTTTGTTTGCATCAATTGGATTGTTCATGATCGAAACTTATCTATTGTCGAAACCAAATATTTCTTACAATGATAATTAAAAAAATTTGCAATAAAAAAAGAAGAAAAAGAGAAAAATGTGAATAGATACATTTCGTCGTAGTGCTAAATTTATCTAAACAAAAAAAAAATTCTAAAAAAATCTGTAGACTTTCGGCTAGGTTTTTTATCCGAAAAAAAAAAAAAAAAAGAGAAAGAGAAAAAAAAGTCATTTCAGAAAGAGATTTTCCAATTTTCTTGCACTTACCAATTTTATCATCGATAACGTTCGACCAGCCGAAACTGAAAAATTTACGCTCAACTGAGTGTGAAAGCTCAACGATTCAGGAATCATTCCTTTTCGATCCTTCACCTTCACTCTATCTCATTCTTTCTCTCTTTCTCTCTCTCTCTCTCTCTCTCTTTCTTTTTTATGGTACGAATCTATCAGTACTTAGATCATTCTCTATTCGTCCATCGAAAAGTAAAACATATTAGCTAGAATAATAATCCCATTGCCTTGTATTATTCGTACCTCATTATCTAAATAAACGGCAAAGGAATATAAAACAAAAATAAAAATGATCAAATAGAAAAATAATGAGTGTACTAAAAATATAATCAGAGTAGCCATCTTTGTTCATCGATTATCGTTAAACGCCCCATAAAATTTCCCGTCACGGCTTAACACGGGGATGTTTTCTGATCAATGGAAAAAAAGAAAAAAAAAAAGGGAAAAAAAGAAGAAGGAAAAAAGAAACAGGAAAAGAAACTAAAAGAAATAGAAAAAGAAAGAAAGGGAAAGAAAGAGAGAGGAAAAGAGAGAGAAAGAGAGAGAGAGAGGGAGGAGGAGGAGGTGAAGGAGGAGGAAAAGCCATTCGGAGTTCCCAACGTGCTCCCAGGATTAGCTCCGGCTTTAATGTCCGACGACAAAGGATTTCAAAGGTAATTGAATCAGGAGCACCGGTTCGCCACAAGCTTAAAAGCCACAAGTGTTTGGTTGCTGCGTTGTTGCCCTCCTCCGCATTTCGAAGCTCTCCTTCCGTTTCAAATCGACTACGCTTTCCGAACGACACAGAATCTGTCGCTTAATTAAATAAATCGCTTCTCTCGACACTTCGAAAAAGAGAGATAGATAGATACATAGAAAAAGAGAGAGAGAGAGAGAGAGAAAGAGAGAGAAAAAGAGAGAGAGAGAGAGAAATCTTTAATGTGGTCCTTTTAACACCGAAATTATTCCGTCGTACGATCAGCACATTTGGTTGGTGGGTTTAAAACTTGAAAATTTCCAAGTAAAGAAATCTTCGGTACCTCTTGATCTAACACCAGACGAGTCTTTGTTCTACTAACACTTGATCCCTTGTTCAAAGTTTTCAATCTGAAAACTGGCCCGATTACCTAAAACAATATTATAATTTTGTATTATTATTTCATCTGTTAATATGTAATTAATATTGTAATTAAGAATGTACTCAGATTTAGTCGGAAGTTTACTTGCAGTTCAACAAGAACTAATCATGTACTTTATATCTCTCTGTAATTATATGTCATGTAACTTGTCATATACTTAAGTACAGATACAAACGCGATTCTTAAACATCTTAATTTATACAGTTTAGAAATTTTTATATTTTTATCTTTTCACTTTATGTACATATATATATATATATATATATATATATATATATAAATACATAAAAAAAAAATATATACTTTTTTCTTTTTTAAATGGATATATGCATTAGTTTTTAACCTTCCATATTTTAAGTGATAATTAAGATACGCGTCTCATTTTATTTTTCCGAAAACGTTTAAGCGTTATCATGCAAAATATTTGTTTAAACATGTACTATCATTTATCTTCTAGTTTGTATGTTAATTACTATGAATTACTCGTATTAGATAAAATACGAGGATTATCTGTATATAAATATCTATATAATAAATGTTCATAATATGACGTTATACATCTTTATTTTGAAAATACGCCATTTTCGAGAACAATTGTTCAGACATGAGTCATTTAATATTAAGGTGCAAGTTTGTTGTTTTGTTTACTTATCGAAAGTATTCAAATTCGTTTCAAGGTCAATCTACATTTTTTCTATAACAGCAACATATTCTACGTTCCGTAAAAAAAAAAAAAATAAATAAATAAATAAATAAAACAAAAAAATAAAAAAACGTATGAAATATTTTTTCATCCTGCGACCGAAAAAAAAAGATCAGATTACATAAAAGTTTATTATGAACTTTATTCGCTGACAAAACGTGCTTTTGTCGCGTCATGTAAATTATCAATTTCTTATTTGATTTTTATTGAAGTTGATTTGAATATTTTTATTCAATTTGATTAAAGATCAAGATTATATAGTCAAGTCATCGTTTAATAACGAAAGGTTAACATTGTAATCATTTTTTTTCTTTTTATATATATATATATATATATAATATATTATTCTTTAATAATATATTATAATATATGATATATATAAAATATATTGTTAAATGTAATCTTTGAGTTATTAATAAATCAAGTAACAACGTACAATGATACGTAATAATGATCGTTGCCATTGCTGAAAAATGAATTATCTATGGTTTTATCTTAGACAATTCACTTTCATGTATTATTTAATCTTAGGAAGAAAAAAAAAAGTGTTAACAAAACTATGTATGGCATATTCTTGTTATCGCGAATATTATACGGAAACGATAAAAAAAAACGATCGATAAATATAAACGGATGACTAGATCTGAAGCCGAATACGAAGCGATCGTTCAAGTTATATCCGATGCCTTTGATGCACGGACCGATACATGCGCTATCCGGTTAATTCTTTCTGGTTGGTTCGGCAAACAGGACCGGAAGTAACGTCTCTCTTTTCGTGTTAGTTGGCCCGTGTTCGTTAGGCACACCATCAATTCACTCTCTTTCCATTCCCTTTTTTGGTTTTGATCTACCAGCTGGAAGATACCGAACGGATATTGAACGAACGTCATCACCATAATCAAATCTATAACCAAACTAACGGGAAATTGTCTATTTTACCAATGTTATCGATCGACAGTTATCTATAAATGTTATTTGTGACATCGAAGAATGAATTATTATGATAAATGACTTTAAGTGACATAACAAAATTAACTATTACAATATATATTTGTAATAATAATATTAATAATAATAATAATAATAATAATAATAATAATAATAATAATAATAATAATAATAATAAAGAAAGAAAGAAAGAAGAAACATCTATGTATTAATAAAAAATTTTTCAAATAATTCATATAACAAAATGACAATCTCTATACTTATTAACAATTCCGGGAGATAATTTAATTTATTCAGAGAGAGAAAAAAATAAAATAAAATAAAAGAAAAAGGAAACAAAGATTTAAAAAAAGAAGAAAATCTGAAAGATACGATCGTTCCTTCTAAGTCCTCATTTATCGTAATTATTTTGATCGATACACGAGAAAAGATAATACCTACATTTAAGATAGATATTAAAAATAAATTCAGTCGAGAATAACAGTGTGATTATGGTCGTTAAAAAAAAAAAAAAAAAAAAAAAAAAAGGCAAGAGCAAGAGAGAGAAAAAGAGAGAGAGAGAGAGAGAGAGAGAGAAAATTAAAGGAGAGAGAGAGGAAAAAAAGGAGAAAAAAAATAATATGTATAAAGACACGAATAGCAAGCGATCTGTTTTTCTTTCTTTTTATCACTCTCTCTATCTTTCTCCCTCTCTCTCTCTCTCTATCTCTCTTTCTCTCTTTCTCACGCAAAATAGTATAGGCGTATAAAAGGTAGGTCACGACGTAGTGCAGACGCGCACACGTAACCGACAAGGCAGCTACCACAAACCGTCAGCTTCAAAGAGGCACCCAAGCGAGGTGTATATTCCGTACTTGGCAAGGCTACCTTCGCACGCACGAATAGTCAAGTACCACCACTGTGCAAAGGGTTATTTTTAGTTCAATTTGTCGCTCGAGCGATACCATAAAGCTAGTAGAACCTTGCCCGTTCGTCTCTTTCCGTCTACAACTACGCGTACATCTCTTCCTTGTGTATTTATGTATATCTTTGTGTGTGTGTGTGTGTGTGTGTGTGTGTATGTATGTATGTATGTATGCATGTATGTATGTATGTATGTATAATACGTACGTTGTAATACTTGTTGAACATATCTATGTATACGATGATAATATGCGCAATATCATTTTAAATAATACAATAATGTATAATGTAATAATATGGAAGGAATATAAAATGTAATAAAGGATTATTTTATTCCTTTATCGTTTTTACTCACTTTTTTTTAATTCTAAATAAAATAAATAAAGATTAGTTAGAGTAAAACTCTTTTATATGTCATCAGATTTCCTTTTTCACTATGTCACATCTTGTGTTTCTTTTAATACGTATATGTTGATTATTGATCTATTATTTATATATATATACATATATATATATATGTATTATTTAAAGATTGTACCAGATATTATTATTAAAATTTATCTATATATACAGATATATGTATATATATATATACGTACATTAAATCTTTTGTATATTTTCTTTTTTTTTCTTTTTTTTTTTTATTCAAGGTACACCAAAAGTCTATTAAATTTTATAATTGCATATGTATTAATAATGCATATGCACACGAATCCATACGTCATAAGATATGAGAAAAGAGAATGTTAAAAAACTTACATGTTTTATCATGAAACTTATACGTGTTTCGAATCATTCATTCGACATTTATGGAAAAATGAAATATAGCGGCAATCTAGCCGTGTTACGTGTCACCATGAAGTAACACGTTCTGTATAACCGGCCGAACATCGTCTCTACCAACAACAGTAGCAGCAGCAGCAGCAGCAGCAGCAGCAGCAGCAACAGCAGCAGCAGCAGCAGCAGCAGTAGCAGTAGCAGTAGCAGCAGTAGTTTCGTTTACGTACACCTCGTATGTCACATATCCATGCAAACTGTATGTCACGTGTGCGAAACACGCATCACCCAAGTTAGGATGAAAGTCAATGAAGCATCGAATAGGATAACGGTAGCGGTCAGGGCCGCCCTCGTTAAGGGATCCTTCACACTAGTGGAATTGTCACGAATTCCATGCAAATTGTCTCTTTCTCCAATTATTTTTTCTGGATTTGAACTCCGTTTAAACTGAAAAATATTAAAAGGATTTTCAAAAATTTGCAAAGGGATGTATGGTATTTTAAAGGAAAAAGGAAAAAAAAAACAAAAAAAAACAAATACCAGGAAAAAGGATAAAAAAGAAACAAAAAATAAATCTAAATAATAACTAAATAAATAAACGACTCGAATATTAATCCGATTGGAAATAACAATTTTAAAAAGGGCACTTTGTTATTTCCCGCCACTTTAAATCATCGCGTTCTCGTTCCTTCGATCAGAAACTTTTAATCTGAATTGGCATGGGCAAATGAAAAATTGGCGATCTCCAACTGTCAATGATTTTACATAGAAAGTAAAAATAGTTTGACGATAACGAGCAATTTTTAATTGTCAACGAACGACGATACGAGACCTCTTTTTTATATACTCATACATATATGATCGCTAACCCCTTTACCATGAAATGTTGTTCGATTTTTTTACGATAAAAAATACACGCGACGATGCTTTCATTTGTCGAATTGAAAGTCAAATTTGATTTCATTCTACAAACATGATGTATGAGAGTTCACTATATACATACATATATATAATATTATTATATATATATAATATATTAATATATATAATATATATATAATATATATAATATATATATAGTATATATAATATATTATATAATATAATATATAATATATAATATATAATATATAATATAATATATAATATATTAATATATATAATATATATATATATCATATAATATATATATTATATAATAAACGGATATTTAACTATTTCACTTAATATCTTGTATCACATTATAATCAAATGACTAACAAATTTAACAATTTTTAAGCACAATATAAATATTTAATCACTATTATTATTACTTAATAATTAATATATACCACTGATGTATGTATATATATATACATATTTTATTTTTTGATAACTATTTTCACAAGAGCTTACTATACAATACATAAGAAATGGACTTTGATATTCTCACGTATAATCTTGCATTACGTAATAATCATGTGATCATTACAATGTAACAAATTCTTTAACAATTATCAAGCATAAAATGTTCGATTATATATATAAAATTTATAAATATTTAAAATTTATATAAACAAGCTGTTAATATATATATATCTATATATATATATAATATATATATATATAATATATATATATATATAATATATATATATATAAATATAATATATATATATATAAATAAGTATATTTATACATTACTTCACAACACATGTGGATGAGAGTTTATTATGAATATAACTAACGGATATTTAATGATCTCACGTATAGCGGTGATATTACATCATAATCACGTGACTATATAACTATATAGTCACGTGACTATACAACAATTACTGTAACAATTATCAAGTACGATCTAAATGTTCAATTATATTACATTTATAAATACTTAATTATAAATATTATGTAATATATATATTATTTCACGATACATGTGGATGAAAGTTGATTATGCATATAATTAACAGACATTTAATGATCTCACGTATAATCGTCATAGGACGTCATAATCACGTGAAGACTATACAATGAACAATTATTGTAATAATTTTCATACACAAATATATAAATAATATAAATGTTCAATTGCATCATATTTATCAAATTTATATAATAGTATATAATTTATATAATAGTATATATATTATATACATATATATATTCTCTTATATATACTATTATATATATATATATTATATATATAAATAATATATATTATGTATATGTATATAACAGTCATATTATATATATTATATATATGTGTATATTTATATTATATATATATATTTATATTATATTATATTATATATATATATATATACTTAGGGTATATAGTACATATACTATATTTAACCATTTGAGTCCCAGGCAGTGCGATCACACTGTTCAAATTTTATGTCGAGAAAACCCAGCATATTTCGCGTTGTAGACAAGTAACGGTGCGACTGTCGAAGTCGCGTGCTCAGATTTACTGACGCAAGTACATCACACAGCTCCTTCTTTTAATGTAAATAATACATTTTACGATAAATAAAATACTATAATAATAGTGCAATAATACATTACAAAATAAAACATTTTCTATATCATTGTTATCTTCTCAATAATTTTTATCGAACAAAACTTGAAGTATTTATAAACTTACAGTACGCATATTTAATAATACAAATGTATTTCATAAAATAACGAATTACAAATTAAAAATATTTTTGTTTTATTAACAAACAATTTAAATGGAGAGTAACATTTATAATTTATAACATCGGTATTTATCAAAACATATTGGATGAATTTCTTTTTTACACTGCACACAAATTAAATGTAATCTTTTTATTACATTTTTAATACTATAGACTATGCATTGTCGCAAGTTATGTCGTGGCAACTTTACTAAATCAAATCACTTTGTCAACTGCAAGAAATGTGACGAGCGATGTGAAAAAGACGAAAATCACGTTATCTAACACATCTTATACGTGCAGAACATAAAATATAAGAAGCGCTATCGCACCGCTTAGGTCTTTTCATATTCATTTAGAGAAAGCACGGTTGCGTTATTCGAGATTTTTCGACAGTGTTTTTTCAATACCCCCTGGAACTCAAACGGATATAGTATATATATATATATATATATCTACTATATATACAGTTAAGTTATACATATATATACTATACACCTTAAGTATTTTAATTCGTTGTACAACAATGAGATAGACTTTAATGGTACAAATCAAAATCAATAAGCCGATTATTGGTTAACTCAAATGGAGATTATGTTGCTTCTAAATCGAATCGACACATTCTATGATGGCGCATGGTTCGTGGCTTCGTTTGAATGCCATGGACTTTCCAGACAGCCGGACATCCGTCCCAGTTCCTTTTCCAACAACGTTTGACAAGGCAGAATCCATGTTCAATGTAATCTTCGCGGGCACTATATAAAGTACATTCCTTTTGTCGAAGCTACGCATGTACCTTGGCCATCGCCATTGTCCAGGACGTATTTATGCGTCCGTTCTGTTTGAATAGACGTGAAAAAAAAAATCCAAAATGGAAACAGAAATCAGTTATGTCGTTTATCGTGTCACTCGTTGTTATATACCACTGTTGTACCGTTCGTCTATAATATATGATGAAATATTAAATAATAAAATATTTATCATATATATAATTAAATAACAAAATGTATAATATAGTATAATATAATATCACATAATATAATATATTATAATATAATATATCATAACACAATATAATATAATATGAAATAATAAAAATGTTACTTTGAATATAGATTATGCAGTCAAATTATTTTCATTATTCAAATATAGATACTTGCAATGATTAATTAATGAATTATTGTTTATATTATTGCTGTATAATCTTGCAAGGTTATTGAATATCGAATGATTTTTTTTTATAAACGAAGAAATTATAAAGATCTTTACGAGTACTGGTGGTAATAAATTATTTTGTAAAAACAGAATAATCAAATGTAAATTACATTACCGGTTTTCACTATAAAAGATGAAATATCCATTGAATATTTTTTATTTCCTTTTTTATTTTCTTCTTTTTTTCTTGATTACAAATATAAAAACGAACTCATTATCAAAGCGTTTTTCTTTCTTTCTCACGCATTGTTATATTCGTTAATAAATAATGTGCTCACTCGAACACGAGTTACGTTAATCAATAATTCGATGCAATCTTACAAATTATTTGGTTATTGCACATCCTTCTTACATTAATGAAACGATCAATCATCATTTAATCATTGCATCCCGCTTAGAGATAATGATTAAGCTTTACCGCTACGTGGCGCCACTTTGCAACAACGTTAGTCAACCATTTAATATATATCGTACTTTTTTTGAAAAAAAGATAATAAAATAATAAAATAAAATAAATCAAAGAATAAAACTGACATTGTGCTATATTTATACTATATTTATTAATATCTTAATTCTCTATCAATTTAATCATTCGAATTATCTTAAGACAATGCAAATAATTTTTTGCAAATAAATTCGTAATATTAGCGAGGCTATTCATAGATCGTACAAAATTCGGGATAACAGGTGTGTATGTATATACGTCGATTTCTGAAGATAGAAAATAGTAAATGCATCGACCGAATTTGTATAAATAATTTGTACTAATGAAACACAAAACAAACAAAAAAAAAAAGAGGAACATAAAATGATATGAAACAAAAAAAAAAAAGGATACAACGCCGGTGCGCATGACAACGGCAAAACAAAACTGTCATCACACATTTTTTCCATCGTACACCATAAATAACTTTTTCGTGTAAAACAATTTTTCGTTTAATTTGGCTTAAAAATAGAAAAGAAAAAAGAAAAGAAAATACGTGACAAATTCAAAGTAAGAAGAAAATTCAATAAATATTTGATTTATTTCTTATATATATATATATGTATATATATAAGATATATATATATATATATATATATATGTATATATATATATATATATATAAAATAAATAAATAAAAAATTTAAAAGATGGGTCAAGTAATGGGTG